TTTTTGACTCTGCATTGCATAATGCAGCATACGACATTATGCAATCATGGTGTTCTACCAAAATCAAGAAGCAAGATTCATACCCAATCTTTCTTATCTTTAGACAGAAGTTTACTATTTTATGGTATTTTCAAACCTCATATTAGTTAGCCTGCTTTATACAGGTAGGAAATCAACTGATTCTACATATCACTTAGTATTACATATGATATAAAATATAATATTTTATTGATTTTGTTGCATTAAAATTATATAGTAATTTCTATGTGCACTTTTAAATTTATGCGACATTATGTTTTGCATAATGTAATGCACATTATGTTTTGCATAATGTAATGCACATAATGCAGAATGCCCATCTCTAATCGTAACCCTTAGATTTAGAGATTCGTTATGTCAAGCTTCAACTGTACGTACAAATTTCATACAATCCTTTTTATCGAGTTATCTGGAGGCAGAGCTATAATACACCCGATGCCTATGTTAACAAATTCTGAATTTTGATTGGCTGTAAGAACATTTTCTTAATATGAAAACAGCTGTAATAGGCAACTTATACGGAATATATTTATAATAAAAAGTATAATCATATGCATATTAATTAATAATATTTAGTATTAAAATAAATGATAATATAAATCTATACTAAAATTCTGAATCCCGAAACTTTCGGATTTGGCCAAAAGATTTTGGTGATCAACTCGAACTAGTCTGGCCTAATAAGGCATCTACGTAATAATTCATAGTATGTGCAACATAAATGAATAAATGAGTGTCACCTTATTTGAGAAAAAACCATTTATTATTTATTATTTACCAGACTCATGACCAGATACATAATTAAATTTACTTACGTATCATATATCGATATATCTCTGAAGTCAGGTTAATAAACTTGAAATGTCAAAGTCTGATGTCACTCATTAGAGATGCAATAGGAACTGTTACAACTTACGCTGTAACCATTTAAAGTTTATGTCGTAATCAGTTATGGCATAAGCCGCAACAGTTTCTACTGCATCTCTAATGTATGCAGATCCCTTAACATTATGCATACATAAATAATTGTTGTTAGACAATATAAAAATCGTAAAAAATTAAAAAATTGTAAATGTCTCAAAATTCATGATGATTTTTCGAAAGCTTCGAAATACACAATATGCACTTATTTTTATTTTCTTAATTTTATTTACAATTTTTTGCCTCACTAAATATAAATCATCCCTATCGGAATGTTTAAATTGCAACAATTTGCTAACGATTAATGAAGAAAAATATTTAACATACCTTCCCCATAGTGGTCTTCATAATCAAAGAATTGAAATAGAAAATGCCATATTTTTGACATGGTACCTAAATAGAACTTTGATAATTCCGCCTCTTCTAATGTATAAGGGACCTTCGCTAATCTCAAGAAAACAATTTGATGAATTATATAAGGATTTATTGGACCATACTTCCTGTAATAAGAATAGCAATGCAAAACCTTACATTGGATACAGTTGGGAAGAATTAATGGACTTTACATTTGTAAAACAAAATATAAAGTATATTTATCGTCATGATTTTAATTTCACAAACTTGAAAAAATCACTTCACATTAATGATGACAATGAAGTATATAATATCACTAATATTAAACAGAGATATTTTGACTACAATTTAACAAACGATCTTGTAGAACATATAAATTTGGACTACTTAAGCAATATATCAGAAAAATTATTACATTTTGGAAGTTTGTTTTCATCGTCTAAGATTATTACAAACTTACCTG